ATAGCATCGTCATGGCAGGCTGCTCCATAACCGCCCCCTTGGTATGCACACTCTCGATATCCTCAAGATCTTCTCTCATCATTCTCCTCCAGCTTCCCAATAGAAGATTCTACTCACGTCGCCGCAGGGGCGCCAGTCAATCCTCCCACTCAGCCCACCGGACCTACATTCCCGATCAATCACCCATATTTTCCACGCTTTGATCATCACCATCACATACCCACCCATGGGTTCTCCCCGTCCTCTCCACCTCCCTCGCCATTCGAGCATGCATAATTCATATTTGCCTCCTTGCCCAAAATTCATTAATGGAAATTGCAATCGGATGATGGCCGAATCCCACAGCAGCAAGCGAGCAGTCCTCCTTTATATCTCTATACGCCGCGTAGACTGTCCGCTTTCACCATTGCCTGGCCCACCCCATCAATAACATCTCCCCCGAAGCTATACAACACGCGCAATTCCCATAGGCATACGATGGCGAATCACAAGGTAAGCCGATGCACGTTAATCCATAACGGATTACACTCCAAATCCTGTACTATAAAATATATATAGTAGAGGAGGAGGTAGAAAAGGAGGAGGAAGAGGAGGTAGGAGGAAGAAGGAAGGAGGAAGGAAGGAAGGAAGGTTCTCAATTGATTGGTTCGCCCACCACTTTACCACACAAAGGGGAGGTAAGCGACACAAGATTACTCTTCGGCTCGGGTGGTCGTATGCATCCTTTAACCTTGCTTTTCGCTTGTTATGCCACATACTAGATCATCAGAGGTAAGCCATCGAGGGTGCAATTATTACAATCAAGACATCACATGAGGTTGCGCTTCCACATGTTGGTCCACAATCCCCTCATCCGCCAGATGCAGATGCAATATCTCCTAAAAACTGAAAGCGGAGTCCATTATAGCGCCCTAGACGATCCTCCTTGATCCGAGGGCTACCGTAATGAGTGGTGCGAAATTGAAGCAGATTCCAAGAGGAATGATCGAGCATGAAATCGAGGCAGAAGCAGAGACAGAGATCGAAACTCTGGGCAAGGTCGTCAGCAGGACGACCGATAGTTCAAACGCAAGAGTAACGGCGACGAAGAGAGGAGTAGACACCTTTGTCGACATAGCACCCACGGGTCTATTCGGCGAAACCCAGTCGTGCAAGAGCGAGACGCTTCATAATTACGCAAATCATCGGCGACTTCCTAATTACTCGCGCCCGCCTCTCCGGTTGAAGAGGATTAGTCCTTCGCTAATCTAGATTAAATACACGATATTGAACTCCGTACTCTCCAGTAACCCCGGGGCCAAAACACAATCCCTCGCCCGGACAGTCGTGGTCCGTCAGGCGAGATTCTAGAGCCTATTGGATCCCCTTTATTTGGTCGGTAATATAGGCAAAAAACATGGACCGTGTTCACAGAGTACAGGGGTTCAAGGGTTACCGAGTCCTTCCGCCATCAGACTGTTACTTTCTTAATTCGTTACGACCTCATCAAGGCAGTATTCGTGAAAGGTACTGGGTAACTTTGATTCCTCCAAAATACATTTTTGTGAGATAAGAGGGAAAACGTTCCCACCCTCATTGCCCCTTCCTATCCCAACTGAAGGTTTTTGGGTGGGTGAAAAAGGCAGTGTTTAGTGCAAAAGGGCTCGAAGGCCCCATTCTCCATTATTTTTGCTACCACCCCTTTTTTTTTTTAAATACATATATATATATATATATATATACAGAGAGAGAGAGAGAAGAGCGCATACCTCTTGTATTCATGAATGAGTGTGTGTGTGTGTGTGTGTGTGTGTGTGTGTGTGTGTGTGTGTGGCGCACCCCTAACCCGCTGGAGGAGCCTGACGAAGAGGGTCAGGGGGTAGCCCCGACCCTCTGCGTCAAGGCTCCCCCGACATCCCCCTCATCAATGCTCATCAAGTGACGATCGGAATGAAGGGACACAGCACATTGGCACACGCATTTCACTACTCACACATCCTCACTCATTTAAGCATTACCTAATGTAGATAGGGAGGAAAGACATACCTTTAGAAGTCGCTTGGTTTCCACGTGGCAACACCGGAAAGTCTGGAACACGTGCGGTTGGTCAAGGACAATGTAAGCCTTCGCAATGCATTTCGACTTCACGAACCCATTTTCTACCATCGTCTCAATCAATCCTCTAATGTCCTTAGCCGCATGGATACGACAAGAGGTTAAAAGCATGATCATTGCAGATTGGGAGATGATCACGTTAACTAATTGCTTGATTGGTCTGTTGGAATTGTACCTAACATATATTACCGGCACAAATTCCAGAGCTCGTGTCTTATTGTGCTTCGTTGTGACGAACCGTCCATTCGACTCTGGGACAACCTTTATATCTAGATGAAGGAACTGAGCCACAGTGTCATAGATCATTCGGTCGGGTCTCATCGTACACTCCCGTGTTTGATTTTTGATCTCGATGATCTGCAGTGGGTAAATCCAGAACGGGTTATTTGTTGTTCTGGGTTGCTGAGGATCCAAAAATCTCAAAATCGAAGGACTGTTGATGACGTGCAGATCATCTACATACCTGAAAGCTTGCAGGAAGAGAGAAGCCAAGTCAAATGCCTTCAACCTAAAGCCTTGTAACAAACTGATATTCATATTTAAAAAAATATACGTTCCAAAAAATCGGCGAACAAGGCAACCCCATTGGTATACCCTTGACCTGACCAAAGGTTGTATAACATCTCGCTAGAATCCATTGACACAGGCCAACAATCCAGTCACTATTAAGATCGAACGCATTCTTGGAGGGTGGGTTACATTTTTCCATCAATCTACAGATTCTACATAACACCCTCTCCTTGCTATTATAGGTGCATCTCACACAGGCATACCGTGCAGAAGAATTCACTTGTCTGAACGTAATATTCACGAAGAACTTAATTTTGTTGACCAGACCATCTTCGCTGTTGTCAATAGGAATGTTCTCAAAACATTTTGCAATATCAGCTGAAAAAACACAATGAACCTCAGTGGGTAGATTATAGCAATAGTCTTGTACACAATCAATGACCCACCAGAACATAGTTTCAGCCCCATAAAAGGTTTTCGTCGTTTTTGTCATTTGGCAGCAGTGCTCCATGACTGATATCTTGAGCGTTGCTAGAATTGAATCCACCAATTGCGCTGCACTGGTCAGGAAATAATCTGATGCGTTAGTCAACCATCTGAAAGTCATCTTGTGCTGCTTAAAAATGACCATGAAATATGGCACGTTTGTGAACGCACTTCTCACATCCGGGAAGCTATTCTTTATTGACGCCAGGGCCTCCTCAACGACCAGGGCAGGGGACAGGTTGGAAAATTCAAAGTCCGGGCTAAACAACCTGTCGAAGGCCAAGGCCCTGATGAGGTGCTTGCAAACGAAAAAAATGGTGTTTGCCGCCTTATCTGTGCCAGCCACATACAGGTGTTGTGTGATAAAACTGACCTCACTCTTCGTTTGAAAGGGAATTGACCTGGACAAGCATGTTTTCACTCTTAGGCTCACCTCCTTGTTTATTAGTGCTTTCACCATGTCTTTCATGTGCTTGACGAGTGGGTTCGGTAGGAATTTCGTCTGCCTAATAACAGCAATAGTGTATGTTCATGCTTTCATTAACACTTCAACCGTCTGGTGCAAAGTAGGGGTCCTAGACGGATTGTGGTTTAGACCTTTTGCGACTCTAAGGCGCGATCGCATGGTTTGGTCATCGAAAGGGTATCCTTCGAGAGTGCTTTCACCATGTCTGTCATGTGCTTGACGAGTGAGTTCGATAGGAATTTCGTCTGCCTAATAATAGCAATAGTGTATGTCCATACTTTCATTAACACTTCAACCGTCTGGTGCAAAGTAGGCGTCCTAGACGGAATGTGGTTTAGACCTTTTGCGACTCCGAGGCGCGATCGCATGGTTGGGTCATCGAAAGGGTATCCTTCGAGAGGAAGGGTTCGAAGCATCGCACACCATTGCAAGGACACACTGCACATAATGACATTGATTCATACCACTCACTGAGATTGAAACACTTAAAGACCGACGCTGGCTTATATACATATCTGCTAATCGGGTCATCGTAAGTCCATCCATAGATAATGTGCAAGAAACCTGTCATTATGGACATATTCACAAACTTAGAGAGAACAGACTCAAACAGTTTCGCAACACTCTTTCCCTCCAGGATTCTCTTGACATAACGGATATGCGCGTATTTGGAGGAAGCTTCCTTCGACTCAGGCGGTACTCTCCACTTCATTCTTCCCGAGGGTCCTTTTTCGAGATAGCCCCTTCGTACCTGCACATGTTCAAACATAGGTAGCCTTGTATGAATCTTCTTGAGTCGTTGAAGATCGACCGTTGAAAGTTCCTCTGTTGTCTGCCTCTTCCAGCAGCATTCTCCATCGGCAGAACAACTCTCCTTCCTCCAACAGAAGTCACCGTTGACTCGAGAGGGGAAGCATCATCCTGGTTGTTAGTTAGATTAGGGGGAGGGGTGGAATTCACGAATCGATCCATTGTGTCCTGATTTTCGATCCTCCGTCTCTTCCCACCCGATGATGAGGCACCATCAGTTCCCCTAGCATGCTTCTTCACATACTTACTCATGAGGAGCAATTTCGTGCATTCTTTGAATGCTTTGCGATCAGCGCCATTGACGCCAGTGAGGACCGAGTCCGCAGTCACAGTAGGATCAGCGATGATCTTTCTAGCAAGCAGCATCATCACCTCCCTGATGCACCCAAACGTGATAGACGTGAGCATCAGTGGCTTCCAGCAAGTGGACAGACACTTGATGAGCGACGACACTTTTGCCCTCGGAGTTGGTGCATTCGGATACATCAAATCAAGATGAAAGAGAAGGAACCAAATCAGGTGGTCAAACCATGCAGGGTCCGTCCCACAATCAGTGTTCCCTTCTGTCGTACATCTACATTTGAGATACGGTCTCCCGACGTTCCATATCCTCTTTAACTCAGCGAGCGCTGATGGATTCTGGGGCGGTTTATTGCCCTTGATCAAGACCGTGGGATGTGGGAGTGCACATTTATTCGCGTCCATGGTGCTCATTGGTGGGAGGAAAACGCCATCCCCGTTGAACGGGAACTTAATGTCAAGCGGAGCCATGTTCATATCTAGTGCTCTATCATATGCAGCTTTCATCTCATCCTATGTAAGTAATGCTAGTAGTCTGTATCCCCTCTGATCGATGGGCGCAAGGTAGTTAAAGGTCTCGAGGGAGCAAATTTTACCAGAGAAAGCGGTCGACATATTTTCAACCCACCTAGGAGATGCAAGAGGAATGAAGGCATTCCTCCACGTATCCGTAAACGTTTTCTTCTTAGTCGTCATCATCTGTGCCTTCGTTCTAGCAACCTCCGCATCCTTCCTCCTTACGTATTCCTTCTCCTCCTCAGTCAATTCGTCTTCTTCATCATTCATCACCTCCTCATCAACGTGACTAACCTTGTGCACCTCCCTTTCTTTGTGAAACTGGGAATGCGCAGACAATAGTTTCACAAACTTGACCTCCGCATCGATAGAGCTCTCATTGATGCTCCGATCCTCCTTCTCCACCTCCTTCTTCACCATCACTGTGCCCCTAGTTAGTTGGTTTAGAGTTTCTACGAACTCCCCTCTCTTATGCCGGTATACGTGGATTAGTCCGGCCGAGTCGTTGAACGACAGGTGATCAATCAGGGGTAGGCAGTGAATCTCCGAGGTAATCGATCTCTCTTTCACATCGGCGATAACCGACTTTAGGGCGTATGCAATCAGGGTTTGGGTAGGGCAAGAAGGGGGTCGGAATCGGGCTAGCCAAGCTTTGTCTCCCGAGACGAGACCCGATATCCATAACACCTGGGGAGCGACAAAGTCCTGAGACAGCGAAACACAATCCGAGATCCATGAGTAGACCACCTAGCTATGGTTCAAATCCTAGAAAAAATCACAATGATATTTAGGAAAAGGGTCTTTCCAATGAGCACTTAATACCCATTCGTGAGTCACAAGCGATTGACCATGGTTATTAGTCATGGAAAGAAACTTCCACTGAAGGTACATCCTCCTCGTGGACATGTGTGTGATGATGTGTGTGAAACACATATTGCGGACGCTTTAGTACATAAACCATATGTACTCCAAACCGTTGCCACAACACAGGATATTTCTCCAACAGGGGTTCTCATTTATCAATCGCAAAAATTTCCAGATTCCATACCATAAAGCCAGTTGGGCCAAAACCAAGGATACATGTATCCAACTAAAGCAGACATCGCAATCCACATGTTTTGAGTCAACAACAAATACAAACAACCTTGATCGATACGGTTTAATACATCTCATACCCGATAATAATCACACATGAGCAGACTGTGTCATCCCCTGTACGTCGTACGGGGGTCCCCGTCGGACGGAAAGACGGTCGTACTGGCGTACGGACGAAAGCCGTCCGATGGTGTTATAGGGGCAAAAAAATATATATATATATATATATATATATATATATATATATATATATATATATATATATATGGGGTTGTAGATCTCGAAAAGGTCTACAACCTCATATTTTATTTTTTATTTTTTGGCCTTACAAAAGATTTTTTAAAAATAAAAAACAATAAAAAAAGGGAAAAAAAAAAGAATCTGGTAGCAAAAAATATGGGCAGTTGCCCCGCGTGCGTGAGTGTGTGTGTGTGTG